TGTGCTGTGATTTGAGATTCTAAGATCTTGGTTTTGTTGCACAGGTTGGACAATTTAAGCATCTTCTAGGGGTCAAGCAAACACCTAGAAAGGAATTAAGAAGTACTCCTGTCAAAACTCATCCAAAATCATTTAAATTGCCAAATAAGTTTGATGCAAGAACAGCTTGGAAGCAGTGTAGCACAATTGGAAGAATTCTAGGTTACCTACTTGCTTCTCCTTAGTTTTTCTAACTAATTAATTCGTATGCAAGAAGTTGCTGACACTTCTTATTTGATGAACACGTGGAATGGTTAAACAATCCACTAATTAAAGATCAGGTAAATATATAATTTTCTCATGGTAACCACTTTTTCATATATCAAAGGTAAAAATATTCTGAGCAGATTAGATGCTGATCATTCAGGGTCACTGTGGTTCTTGCTGGGCATTTGGTGCTGTTGAATCATTATCAGACCGTTTCTGCATCCATTTCGGCATGGTAACTTATCCCTATCACAGAAATAACACTGACCTTTAACTTGCTTTTTGTCTCTGTGTGTGCGTGTGCGTGTGAGTGTGATTGTGTACGATTCTCCCTAAATCTGTAATATCATCTTTGTCCATGGTTCATAGATTAGGAGCTTGAAAGGAAAATTTGTAACCTATATGTTCATTTGGCAGAATGTATCGCTCTCAGTTAATGACCTTCTCTCGTGTTGTGGATTTTTGTGTGGATCTGGCTGTGATGGAGGTTATCCCCTCAATGCATGGCAATACCTTGTCCGCCAGGGTGTTGTCACTGAAGAGGTAACAAGTTTTCATTTAACCTTGGTAGTTCCTCTCTGAGTGACTAAATAAATATATATATATATATAAATAGATAATATGTAAATAAATTTGAATCATATTATTATTGCTAAATTACTCAATACTATTTTAATCTTTCTCATAGTATGTGCTACCCTTCAAAACTCACATCCTGAGTAAATGGAATGCAATTCTCTAGTTTATGTTAAAATGCTATGAATGGAAATACAAGGATCCTTCTCATTTGGATCTTTTCTCTTATTGATGTTAATGTTTTGTAGAAGACTTTTCTTTCCAACTTGGCCATACATTCCTGTTTTTGCACGCTCTTACAATCTTGAAATGTTTAAATTTGGCAGTGTGACCCATACTTTGATCAGATTGGCTGTTCTCACCCTGGTTGTGAGCCTGCATATCCAACACCTATGTGTGTGAGAAAGTGCGTCAATGGCAACCAGCTTTGGAGCCAGTCAAAGCACTATAGTGCTAATGCATATAGAGTAAACTCTGATCCCTATGATATCATGGCGGAAGTCTATAAGAATGGCCCGGTTGAGGTCTCTTTCACAGTTTATGAGGTAAGTGAAAGCTCAGTGAGGCTTTTATATTTGTTGTGCTGCGACTTATATGAACCAAACGTGGTCAGGATCATTTACTTTTGAATATACTAGCTCATTTTTTCAATGACTGTTGGTCATTTTATATTTTTATGATTATTATGAGATTAATATAAATGCATTTTAAGATATTACGCCTGCTTATATACAGCACGCATGGTGAGGATGTTTTTTCACTATAAGAAAGAAATTTCGCTTAGAGAGCAGCTATTTAGTTTCAATAGAATCAAAATGAGAAAGAGTTGAGGTTTGGAGGCAGCGCACAAAAAAAAAAAAAAAATAGTCGCCACATCAATCCATGTATATGAAATATCATTAAGAGATGCAAATGAAGAATTTGTCTGGAACAGCTGAAGAAGAAAACCAGAAAAAATACATTTTGGATTTAGCGGAAGCATTCTTCAGGCTCAGGCTAATGATTTAAAAAATGTCAGTTTAATATACTGTTGAATTGAAGGAGGGAGTTTGTTACATTTGTTATGGTGAAGGGCCTTGTCTTAGTACATTCATATGGGGGAGGCTGGGATAATGATAGCAAGAATCGTAATGTGCAGGCATTTTTATTGGTGAAAAGCTCAATTAGGGATAGTTGAAGTAGTGGAAGGGATAATTCAATTGGTGTCTTTGCGTGCTTTAATTCAATTCCGTTTTTCTTCCTCTGTAAGCTCAAGTTGCTATTGCTCACTTTCCACTTCGGTCACATCTTCGTGTTATTCACACTGTCTGGTCAGTGGCATTTATTCTTGAGTGTTTTCTGAAAAAATTGTTCTTTCCCTTCTGTTCTCTTCTTCACACGTTTCTGGTCCCTATTATGCTCCATTTTGTGCTTTTGATTGACTCCTTCCCTCTGGGCTGGTTCTTGCCTTGTCCCCCCCCCCCCTTTTGTCTCTCGGATTTTCTTCCCAGTGCCTCTTTTGATTGTCACCTGGGCTGGCTCTTTGAACCTGCAAATACACGGATGGTGCGGGCCTTTCTGTCATAGTGCAGATTGATGTTTACCCAAAAAAAAAAAATAAAAAAAAAAATCAAGAAGTGTGCATATAGAGGCTTGCTGCTGCTGCTGTAGATTTTCTTGCTACTAAACTAAGAGTTTATGTTCTCAAGTGCAGAAGAGTTGTTGTATGTCCGATAGCGGGCAGCAATAAAAAAAATGCATGTAGTTGTACAATATGTATCGAAACGATCAGGTATTTGGCGAAGTTCATGCCCTTTAAGTTTGGGACATAATCCAACACTTTTAGACTGGAAACAGAAACGACTTCGCATTACAAAATACAAACTGGTCTTGCTATGTGCTAGGAGGAGGTTCACAACCAACAATTAAGCAACTACAGCTGAATAGTCGTCGGATTACTTTTAGACAAAGCACGGAAGTTGATATGTAAAATAATAAAAACCCTGTGTTATGTAGGTAGCTAAGGGCAGTTAAGTCATTTGCTGTTTTGTTTGACTATTCTGCCTAAAGCCTATAAATACTAGGTTCCTCTCAATCGTAATTAGGCTGATATCATAATAAAAGTGCATCATTCAGAAACCACCTGATTCTCTCTCGATTTTTCTCTCTGCTCCTTCGTTTCTGAATTCTCTTCCTCTTCTTCGCAAATTCTATCTTATCTCTCTCTTCTATTCTACTTCTTCTACCTTTTTCATATCAGAAGTTGGTGTCAGTTTGTGATTTAATCATATAAGATAAAGGCTTCCCATCATATATGATATTATAGGCTGAGTAATCTGTGCATAATGCCTGTTTAAGCACTTGGGGAGAGCCTCTTATTACCGTTTGCTGTTGACCTTTCAATTAGAAACAAAAATGTTTTACCTTTTTGTTTTTACATTTTTAATCCATAAATTAACGACTTTCTTCCCATGTTCGACTGCGTTTTATTTCAGGATTTTGCTCACTACAAATCAGGAGTATACAAGCACGTCACAGGCTACTTGATGGGAGGTCATGCTGTGAAGCTAATTGGGTGGGGAACCACTGATGATGGAGATGACTATTGGGTATATATTACCTGGCCATTATTGTTGACCTTTAACTTCCGCTTCCTTATATAACGTCTGTATAACTTTTATATTCATTTTGCAATTTCAAATCTTTCAGCTTCTCGCAAATCAGTGGAATAAAAGTTGGGGTGATGTAAGTGAAATATTCTTGTTTTGGCCACCCTTCGATTTGAATTTCATGTAGCCAAACATAATCCTTCATTATCTAATTTATTTTGAATCGTCAGGATGGCTACTTCAAGATCAGAAGAGGCACAAACGAGTGTGGCATTGAAGAAGATGTTGTCGCCGGTTTGCCTTCCACTAAAAATATTGTGATGGAGGTGGCTGATGTGGACGACGGTGCGGTTGTTTCGTCCTGAGTGTAGATATTTACTACAGTTCTACTTATATTAATTATTAAATAAATGTTGTATGCCTATTAAGCATTCTGTCTCTGGCTGCATCACTAGCAGAATTTGATCAGGCTGTCTGGAAATTATGCATTGAAATACTGCAAGATTGAGCGAACTGTAATTAGCATGGTAGTACATTCACCGCACCACTCTTGTTCCGTTGTCGATTTCGCTCGTGATCTTGATGATGATAGAATTGAATGCGACGCTTGGTATTTTTCAACGTCTGTCCTGTATGAATATTTAATTGCGTGGCGCGGAGCGTCAAGAAGGAGTGAAAGTCAAAGGACGGCTGGATTTTTGCTTGTGATATTTCTAGAACGACGGAAAAAAAGATCAAGTGGCATTGTATTTATATTTATAGAGACTGCACGAGATGTGTCCAAGTGTATAATAATTATTAAGGAATTATCAAATGGCTCAAAAAAGGGATCAAGTCTTAACAGGTTTGGCCAAAAAAAAAAAGAGAAAACAAGGAAAGGGGTGAAAGGAAAGGGCTTCCGAGTTCCCGTTATGGTTGAACTGTGTTATTTGATACAGGTTTAAAACTAAACACCATAAACAATCAATTTTTTCAATATGTAAATTAAAAAAAATCAGAAAATGGCTGTGAACTAAATTGTCAAGCATGCTCAATCTTTGTTGTCAATAAAAAAAAAAAAGTAAATATACATAGCTTTAAAAAAAAAAAAGAAACAAAAGTTACTTGACATCATGTCTTTCACGTGTTGTTTTATAAATTCCTTTCCTATTTTCTTTCTTTCTTTTGTTCTGGCCAAGGAACAATACATGCTATTTAAAGAACACCAATTGTTTGAGAAAAAAATACAAAACATGAAAAGCAAAGAAAGAAAAAGTACTGAAATAAGTTCCAGACAAAACAACACATCAAACCAGAAGAAAATCCTAATTGCATCATGTTACCCTGTTTCAGGAGAGAAACCAAAGGGGATGGGAGCTTGGAAGCATAGTTCGAAAAGCATATCCCTATAATTGTAGCTTGAAAAATTCATACTGTAACTTGATAGAAACTTCTTAAGATGCACTTAAAGCCATAAATTTTTAGTGATTGCCCGAGGTACAAAAAAATATCCACAAAGGTTGAGAAAATGTAAGGAGCTCTACTTAAAACAACATCAATCAAAGGGTAGGAAACAAATATCATCAGAAAAATAACCACAATAAACCATAATAATAATAAACTAGAGACGCCAATCAAAGCACTCGGTCGAACCCATCTCTTATTCTTAACAATCATTTGAGTAATCTTTCTAAAGTAAATGGAGAGGCAATCAGTCCAAGCAAACTCCCAAAAGATAGATTTAATGGCAGATACAACCAAACACCCAACAACCAGTAATAAGTTTTCTAAAGCACCCCTCATTTCCACCAATCCCAAAACAAAGCTAGGGGTGATACCAATGCAGTAGCACCTAAATATGCCAAATAGTTATACCAAAACAGGGCATTCAACAAAAGAGTAAAAATAGATATAGAAAGATTGTACTAAACCTAGTCGAGTGAATTTTGAAAAAAGTTGTTTAGATTTGACCATTCCTAAATCTCTGCCATCCATATTGAAACATAGCTACCATTGAAAATTTTGGAATGTTTGAATGCACCAAGCACATCATCATTGATTTAGCCCTCAATTTCCTGACATTTGATGCAGATCCATGCCTTTCCATCCTCAGCTCTATCATCAATGTAACAAGATCAGGAGGCACCCATCTCAAATCATTTGCCCTACCGATGAAATTTAAAACCAAGAACTAGAAGTAAATTACCTTAATCAAAACCCAAAAAATTGGCCCTATCAAAGGATCATTCTACTTTGCTCCAATCATCTGCTTCCCTACCATTAGATCATAGCTTTTTCCTTGAAGAGTCGTTGCAGATTTGAGGCCAAAGTCAATATATATCTCAGTGAAAACACTCACAATCTGCAATGCCCTTGCCGCCAGAGAAGCAACCCTAAGCCATACTCCAACTCCTTCGTGCATTGACCCACCCTCTCATCCTTATTAACACAAACACCCAACACATGCATGCCCACTGACACAGGCCTCCAAGGTAGACGCCAAAGAAGAAAGCCTTGAGGCTCACGGCCTCCATGGCCAGGGAAGACTCTCCCTAATGGAGAGACTCTCATGAAGGAGAGGGAAACCCTAACGGTTTTAAGAGGTGCAATTGCTTTTCATCATGACCAATTTCTTTCCTATTTTCTTGAGTTCGTCAATCTAATAGTGTTGATTGATGTAAATTACTACATCAATTTTTTCGAGAGAATTTCAAATAAGATTTTGAAATTTTAATTTAAAGTGAAAATAATTTAAATTATAAAAATATTAAATTATACCTCACTTATTATGTAGAATAATTAATTATTAATTTTTTTATTTTATTTATTAATATCACTAATAAATTATATCCGTTTATCAGATAAGTAATAATATTGATTATTAACTTGCTAACTTCATTAGTTATAAATTATGAAATTTATTAGTAATTTATAATTGATATTAATAAATTAATAAGTAAAGCTAGCAATTTAATAACTAATATTGTTGCTGATAAATGAACAGTTAATGTTAAGTCTTATATAATTATTGACTTATTACTTCATGTAATTTACAATTTATTTTAGTAAATTAATAAGTGAAGTAAGAAAATTAATAACTAATAATTTTATATAATAAGTAAAGAATATTTTGATTTTTTAATTAAAATTATTTTTATTTTTATTTTGAAACTAAATTAAATTTTAAAATTTTTAAAGACTCACTCATAATTATACCACATTCTTGCGCCTTATTAAAAATTCCCTTATTTTTTCCCCTTTTATAGGCCTGACTCGGGCCAACCATGTGAAGGGCTTTTTTATTTTTTAAGGTAAGTAACCATTTTTTTCCTTTTAATTTTTACTGTTTTCTCACAACGCCACGTTGACCTTGAGCTGGGCCCCAGAAAGTGACCAATCAACCCACTCCCTTTCCAGATTCACCAATCCGAGCGTCATAACCTGCACGTTTGTTTTTCCTCTTCGCTTTTTGTTCTGTTTGTATCCACTTTCTTCAGTCCAGAGTCTGCTTTCTTCTCCTCTAAGAGGAAATCCTGTATTGCTGTTCCTGTAAAAATTATTGCTATCTACTTTGTGTGGTCACCATTATCTATGGGACAGAACCGTATAAAGAGGATAATCCTCCTAATCTATGTGATAGGTGGCGACTGTTGATGGGCGGTTGGGCATCTTTACCCCGTAGGTACCCTGGCAAGAAGAATATTCACGGCATGCTCCCTCCGAATTTAGGGCTATCTAATTAATGAAAATTGTCTTAACTCAATTTTATAATCAGATTAAAGATTCGCATGCCCGTTCCCTGCTTTTCGAGGAAGAAGTATATGTAGAGGAAGGAAGAAAATTGTTTTTCCTGTTTCTGTCGTCTGCGAAATAAGCGTCAGGAATCCGAGCTTTTACAGAAACTCCTTTGAGGCAAGGGAAGGGAATTATCCTGATATTATTCTAAAATTGCGGGAACCTGACGGCTGATAACCCTCTTACGTCAGAATGAAGTGACAAGAAGTCATCTTTGCCTATTTCTTGGATTTTCTATCTGCATCCTTACGTTTCTTCCGCAAACATTACAATCATAACCCGTATTTCTCTTCGTTCTTCTTTTTTCTGCAAGTGATTAATTCTCCTCGCGTTCTGCATTTTGGCTGTTCCGAGTTTGTGAATATCATGGGTCACAAACGAAGGTGACTTGCTGAGAATAGAGAGAACTCGAATTTCTGTGAACATAGGACCTCCTATTTGGGTTATGTTGTTTGTGTTTACGTGAGTGATACTGACAGAGTCGCGAGTAGTAGGAGTTCTGAGAAGGTAAAAGATGTCGCTAGCGAAAGAGCCAGAACAAGTGATGAAGTTGAGGGGAGGATCGGTGCTGGGAAAGAAGACCATTCTGAAGAGTGACCATTTCCCTGGTTGCCAGAACAAGCGCTTATCTCCTCAGATTGAAGGCGCCCCCAATTATCGCCAGGTCTTATTATGGTTCTTTTTCTTACTTTTTTCTTTTTTCCTTGCTGCTTGTCATAGCTTTGTGGACTGGTCTCAGCCGGAGTCATCACTCAATGATGTCTAATGTATGTACTTTTGTTATCAAATTTTTTAAATACTTGGGTCTGTAATTCAACTGTTTATGCTTTGAAAATTAGTTAGCCACACTATCTCCCCTGCTTTTGGCTTTTTCGAAACTTCTCTTCGATCTTTTGAAGTCATTTGGTTTCCTATTTTGAACGGCATTGTAACTGGAGTTTATACCATGCATTGGCTTCCGAAATTCCTGCTGAAGAAGCACCATATCCTTGCATTAGATACTAGAACTGCTCAACCCATAAATTACTGTTTCACACTATAAATTACTTTTTCATGCTTAATGTTTTCTTTTCTTTTGTTGGTTACTGTTCTCAGGCTGATTCATTACATGTTCACGGTGTTGCAATCCCAACATTTGACGGGATCAGAAATGTTTTGAAGCATATTAGTGCTCAAAAAGAAGGGACGAGAGTGCAAGTTCTTTGGATTAACCTTCGTGAAGAACCGGTATATTTGTTTTCTTGTGGCCATATCAGTTCTTTAGCTTCCAAATGTACATTAGGACTCATCTCTGGTTGGTCCTGCGAATATCTATCTTTTTTCCAGCAATGAAGCTATGAAGACCTTTTGTTCTCTTCCCTGTCATTCTGTGAATTTCAGCTAAATCTTGTGCGTCAAAAATATACAGGCTAGATTCCTTGATTTCTGTATCAACCTATGGAATAATTGAAACGTAGTGAAACTTTCTTGGTGATAACCAGTAAACATGACGCATTGGAATTAACTTTTTGGCTCACACTTGGCACCCTAAAATCTTATTTTAATTCCTGATGACTATGGTTCTAGTGACATTTTCCAAACTGTCTTTTATAAATTTCCTTTTCGTTCTTGTTGAAATCAGGTTGTGTACATTAATGGGCGACCCTTTGTTTTGCGTGATGTGGAAAGACCATTTTCCAACCTTGAGTATACGGTATGCTTATTATGTAAATATTGAAATTAACTTTTTTGAGTTGAACTGAGAACTCTAAATTTATAGCTAATGCATTTTATCTCTTCATCTTTGTTCCGTCCTGTACTCAATCAGGGAATAAATAGGGAAAGGGTTGAACAAATGGAAGCTCGTCTGAAAGAAGATATCCTAATGGAAGCAGGAAGGTACTTCTATTGTACCATTTATTCTATCAAATGCGGTTAATAGTTCTCTTTGTTATTTTATAATCCTTTCTTGCATGATAACCAATCTTGTCTGCACATTGACAAAACAGATATGGAAATAAGATCCTTGTGACTGATGAACTGCCAGATGGCCAGATGGTTGACCAGTGGGAACCAGTATCATGTAATTCAGTGAAAACACCACTAGAGGTAAAGGAAAAAATTGTTTAGAATGGGAGCAACGCTAACTTCATCAATTTTCTGCAAAACATGCATCGAAGTTGTTTATTTGCTGTAGGTGTATGAGGAATTGCAAGCAGAGGGATACCATGTCGATTATGAACGTGTTCCTATAACTGATGAAAAGTCACCAAAAGAACTGGATTTTGACTTTTTGGTGAGCTTTTACTATTTCTTTCAGTAAAGACCTTTGCACAAGTTGTGAGTAAGGCAATTATGAGTGATCCTGCTTTGACTTTATCTGTCATTGTGTATGAAGTGTAACGCCTTCTGGAAATATATCCTTTTGGTACAATCAAAGTATTGGGTAGTCATATTTTCTTCTTTGTTGTCTTGTCTAAGAGCTAAAAGCTGCTGATGAAAATTGCTTCAATGCCTAGAATCTATAATTTTATATAGCTATTATTAGCATAGAAAATTCACTTGGAGTTTCCTGAATGCTATGTTATTGCTTAGCCGTTCTTCATTGTGATTTAGGTTCATAAAATTTCTCAAGCTGATGTAAATACAGAAATTATTTTTAATTGTCAAATGGGGCGTGGACGAACTACAACAGGAATGGTCATTGCAACTTTAATTTACCTCAACCGAATTGGAGCTTCAGGTGATCATTTTTCTTCCCCCCCCCTTTTTTTCCAAAATGACAGGGAAATTTGAATATTAGAAAGTAACTTCTTTTTTATTCTACCATTAATACTAAGCTGATTATTTTGCTGCTGAATTGCTAACAAGAAAAAGATTTCATTTATTAATCTTAAGATGCTTTATCTTGCTATTATTTAGTTAACACAAAATGTCTGTAGATTCAGTTTGTGTGGCGATATTTACTTTCAAGTCATGTTAAATTATTCCAGAGATTTTGTATTTTTCTCTTGGGGCGGGGCGGGTGGGGGGCTCTTGCAGTGTAATTCAGCCAGCTAATGGAGAGTTTATGTGTGTGTGTGTGTGTGTGTGGGAACACAATTTTCTGGGTCTCTAAAGGTTCCATTTTCGTTCACATCATTGGTAGGTTATAGGACTAAAATCTAGCCAATGACCATCAAGTTGTTTGAGCGTATAATAGTATGGATATGGATGGAAGAATGAGTCTAAGAAATAACATGAGAGCATTGACCTATTGTGTGATGGAGAGAAGCTCAACGTCATCATGTTGAAGATGATGGCCTAAATTATTTGCTTGCATTTATATGTCATAAATGGTTTCTATTTATACTTAATCCAAGTACTATTATTGTCTGCTTTCTGTTCTTATAATAATAATAATAATACGCCTCTCTCACAAGACATGCATGCCCTTGGAGGACACTATTTATTTATTTATTTTTATAAATTTGGGATTACATATACTGAATAGCCATTGCTATAAGTGTTTGCAGGAACATACCTTGGAACTAAAGTTTGACTAACTTTAATTTAGACTTAGTCCTTTTTTTGTTTAGTTTTGAGATCCTGGGGGTAACCATTTGATATTACCATGATACATGATAGGTATTCCAAGAAGCAATTCTGTCGGTAAGATTTCTCAGTGTGCTGCTAATGTGGGTGACCATTTACCTAACTCGGAGGAGGCAGTTCGCAGGGGAGAATATGCAGTCATAAGAAGTCTGATTCGTGTATTAGAGGTATTAATATCAACTTTGTTTTCTTTTATAAGACGCAGCAAAGGTTTTAACTGGGTTAATGAGAGGACACGCTTTCTAGGGTGGTGTTGAGGGGAAAAGACAAGTGGACAAAGTTATCGATAAGTGTGCCTCAATGCAGGTATCAAA